AACAACAACGGCAAAAATATCCGTTCAGATGGTGTCTATAAGTTGATATTGAATAAAATGGAATCAATCAGAACAAACTGATTCTGTAATTAATTTCAACATAATGAATGCTTACTTCCAAGTCAAATCAGTCACAAATTACAACAAATCTGAATGAATGAAAAAGTCCAACGTTCCATTATTTCTTAACGTTTTGATGCAACTTTTCATTATATGCACATAAAAATAAGTTTTGAACAGAAATTGCAAAACATGCATGCACATATAAATCGACAAACAGGCAAAAGAGGTAAGTTTGCGCAGCAGCTGAGGAAGATTCACATCGAGGGCAATACTTTTTAAAATGAGGTGATTTATTTGCCACAAAAAATTCAAGCTTCTGCTTCTTCGTCGATGACCGAATCGATGTCCTTGTAGAAAGCACTCGCAGCCGGCGTTTTTACAGCTCGCTGAAGAACTGGTCGCAAACGTCGACTCGACGAAGGCGTTATCATGACGTTTCGAACGCTCGAAGCAGTCAATGTTGCCGCAATACCAGCCATGTCCGTATTTTGCTCCATAAGAACCTTTTTCAAATCCTGTTGCCGTGCTTTCGGCTTACGAGGTGGCTAAAATTAAGTTCAGTTAAGCAGTTCTATCTTACAGTTATTCTAAGTTGTAAGTTACAGTTTAACTGTAAGTTACGCAGTTGTAATTGTAAGCATGATTGCAGATCATAAGAAATACTAACACAGAGCAAAACGCACAGCATTGCATCAATCAAAGATGAGAAAATGAACGCACTGTCACTAACACAGTAATACAAATGAATAAAATATGATATCGAAATAATAAAAAAAATAAAATAAGTTCAACATGCTTAATTGTAAGTCAAGGTGCGACTTACAATTAAGCCTGAACGATATTCAAATAATCGCTAAACGGCAGTAATGGAACTAGCTCAGTGATTGCAAAACCCTCCTAAACCATACCCTTCGAACTGTCGATGAAGTCGTCGTATTCAGTGGCTTCCTGTTTGGGGCTGGAACTGTGGATGGTTTCAACTCTGAATCAATTTCTTCGAATCTTAATTTCTGCTGATTTGCCAACGATCCTTTTGGATGAGGTGTTTCCAAACGCAGCTGTTCAGTGAGACTGATTAGTTCTTCTGAGTTTGACGTTGCCGTCAAAGAACGCTGAAACAACAACCACTTCAGATTGATCTTAAAATTTCTGTTCGAATCGAAACATTTTCTCAAATGAAATCACATTTCGTCGCTGGATTCGAACTGATAACGAAACAAAAACACATACTGCCTAATCACTGGATAAGCTTCACAGATTCAAGTATCTAAAATGTCATAAACAGTCCATATTATGACCAAGTACGTACCTTTCTCGACGACATATCTTCAACCGTTTCAATTCGTTTGCTCAGTGATCGCGAAAATGCTGTCATTAAGCGTACATCTTGAGCGCTCGCTTCCAACTCTCTTACCATCTGCAAATGTTACACATCAAATAACATCGATAATCAAGCTAACAAAACTGTCATTCAACCCATGTCGAAAAGCCTTATAAATCTATCACTTATGTCCACAAATTATAGCTCATCAATGGATGAACATACATTTTATACATGAATGCTCGCAAGTTATCAATATTAAAAAATAAGATAAATAGATCTGAATTCACATCTTACATCAATCAGTTCATCAGTTCGTTCTTTCAGTGCGTTCAGTTCTTCACAATCATCCCATTCGTGCACTTCTAACTGCGAAAGCATTTTGCAATAAACCGACAAGAAGTCATCATTTCGATCAGGGTCATTTTCTATCGCATCCAAAATCTTACGACACAACTCCGGATGTACTGAACACTCCTGAAAATATTCGCCAATACCACGGACTGACATTTCAAGAACGATTTCATTTTCTTAATGAATACTTCACGAATTCGCTCACCAAATCAATTTACCGTCTAATTCATTAATTTTCAGCAACGATTATGAAAACTTCAAACTTTTTTCTGCTTAAAACTAATCACAGAGTGGACATATACTCCTAAAAATATCGTAAGGCAACACGATAATATAACAAAACCAAAATTTCATCTCAATATAATAGTGCGACTAATGATTGTCATAATGTACGAACATGCTCGCGCCGAGCGGTGCACGACTGTTTCGAAGTGGCACAAACCAAACAGGTGCCGATTGCGTTTAGTTTCTTCATCGGAATCAATTGCTCTCGATTCGCCGTCCGAAGCATGTCGAA